CGCTACTGCCTTTCCAAAGCACCGAATCAACGCTTCTTCTCCTTTTTCGACCCCCAGAAACCACCGGGCGCTTGCGTCAACTCGGTGAGGCAGGTGGAGGAGATCTCCTGGGTTTCGAGGATCGATGATGAGCCCGGTCAGCTCATGTGTTGTTGTTCCGAAAATCTCTGTAGAGCAACCACTGGAAAATGCCCTAATCTGGTGGAATCCATGGAAGCGTTGGCCAAAAATGACCATGGAAATTAACTTAACTTCTCAAAAATGGTTGTGATTCGAACTTTGAACCCTGTTTGATTGGGGTGGTTTTAGTTCTAGCCACCAATTGGCACTCTCTGGGCCTACGATGCGGCAAGGCAAAGAGTGAGCGCTCACCAGCGAGCATGGCATAGCATGCTATGGGCATAGCATGTTGTGGCCATCCATCCAGCCCTTTAACGCCTTTAAACCGTCAAGTGTCCGAGAAGCAGGACTGCCAGCAGGCTGTCTATACTTACCATCTGTCATGTATGTCTGGAAATCTTAAGCGTTGGTCAAAGGAATGGTTGAGGGTAACTCGGGTAACTGCTTCCCACATCAAGTACATGGAATGGCAGTAAGTAGTGATGCACCGCCATTCGCATCTGTCCCCCAATGATCCTTGGTGGTTGTTCATGTTGGCCATTCCCACAATCGAAAGGGCTCTGTGACCACTCAATCATAAAAAAAACACTTCCAATTCCAACTCCACCAGCCATAAAAGAGAGCTGAACGAACAAAACCCCACTCCTCAAGCAGGGCTACGCGAGCCGTGCAAGTCTCCGGACATGCGTTGAACACCTGAGCACGTGCAAACTGACAAAGAGAGACCGTAGAAAGGGCCTGTAGACTGCTGAGAAATAAACACCCCATGACACCCGCATATGGAGAGATTGTTCAACCCCACTTGAGGGATGCTTAACAATCAACAGTCTACATACGGGTTTGTCTGAAGAGTCATGGAGTCATGGGGAACCGCCAAAAACCACCGAAAAAACAAGTATCCAGTGCTAGTGGACTTGTCTCATGAGCGGCTGGCACATATTAGATCTGGCATAAGCATATGAGAAAAAAAAGTGTGATGTGTGTTGTATCTGCTTGATATGTCTATAGCTTCATATATGTCTACACGAAATCAATCATCAATAGCAGCGGTCCGATTCCAGGCATCATGTCGGAAGCGGTCCGATTTCACCCCCGGAGTCGGAGATCCAAATGCCCCGCCCCGCATGCCCCTGCAGCCGGAATTAAACACATACACTGCCTGAAGTAACATGGAAGGGGAAAACCCCCCTGGTTGCAAAGCAAACTGGTCTTCCAAGGCATTCCGCGGGAAAATGGTCTCCACTTGGGTGTGTAGACATATACAATAAAACATCACTTTTCTGTTGGTTGGCACAGGCCTGGAAGGCAATTGGCTTGACAAAGCCGTACTTCCCACCAAGGCCGCGCAAATCCGCATGGCGCTGCGACATCACGGACGTAATTCGCCACACGGTCTGCCCACACACTAGAAGCAATCATATCACACTAGAAGCAAAGCACTTCTGAGTCCAGCTCCGCGACGCTGTTTCCCGCACTACATTTGCACGACAAACTGGCCAGGTCTGAGTCCAGCTCCACAAGCGAAGCGCCAAGTCTCCAAACTGAGCGTTTCGTACGAGACTTCCTCCAAAAAGTGAAGCGCGGGCGCGGGACCAATCCACAAAGCAATCTCACCTGCATTTCGCGTGCTCGACATGCACGATCTCCGCAGAGGGTTGCGTTTCGTGGCGCTCCGGCGGCACCGCCCCCGCCTTAAGAGAGAAAGAAAAGAAGAGCGAGAGATGAAGATGTGAGATGTACAGATGTGAAGATGTGAAGATGAGCAGAGCTGTAGATGTGCAGATGTGAAGAGGAGCAGAGATGTAGATGTGCAGATGTGAAGAGGAGCAGAGATGTAGATGTGCAAATGTAGATGCGCAGATGGGAAGATGTGAAGATGTAGATGAGACGTAGTTCTACATATGTTCTTTACGAAAAACCCTTCGCACAAAAACATAGAACAATAACAACAAATATCTGTTTACTTTACATTTATGAACATTCATTTGCTAGCTTTAGCTATTTCCTCTCGTAGCCAGGCGCAAGCCATGGCCAGGTTCCATTCAGCCATTGTCGCTCTTCTTGGTTTGATAGTGTTTCTGTCCACTTACTTCGGGACCTGTGCGTTTCCTTCCTTCAGACCAAAAACAGAAATTGCGAGAAATATTGCCACCAAAAAGGAAATTGACCTGGAACTCTCAATAGTGGAGAGTTTTAAATTCTTTGAAGAATCTGATTCCCGATGGTTTCTCCGAAAGCTGATTCATTCCCACCAAGCTGCTGTTGAGCGAAGCCAAGCAGAATGTTTCCACTTGGGAGGAGGCCCATGCGTCGGGAGGAAATGGTGAATGGCTGTGCAATCCACATCAAGTCGGTGAAGGTTGTTTAGTTCGCGCAACGAAATGAGACATTCCTGTGGTTGACATCAACCAGATAGCCAAGGAACTTGGCCATACAGGCAGAAACATCGACTTTTTGAATATTGATTGCCATGGGTGTGAATGGGATCGGGCCCAATACTCTGGTTGGTTTAATGACGACGTCTTTGTGCGTCAATTGCTGGTTAGACTCACGTGGCCTTTTGATGATATAAATTATGTATGCTCCCGGACCGCATCCCGGCGGAGATTTCACAACGACACCTAAAGACCCACCGCCTGAAATTCAATTTTTTCACGTTCTTGCAACGCTTCTGAGAATGCATTTGGGTTCTCTATGTTACGGCCTGAAAACACTCCAACGTTGCACGGATTTTGGGTCATGCTGGCGACCCAACCTCAAGAAATTGCAAAGTTTGACCGTTGGCAAAAGGCTACGGCAGACTTTTGAGGGCACTGTTTGGAACGACATTCGCACATGGGTTGGACACATTTTAGTGAAGTGGTTGAATGGGCACGTAACCAATCAAAAGTAGCAGCAAACTCAAAAAAAACTGCGACTTTTGATCTCAAAGAGTGATGATCTCTTTAGAGGGTAAATCTTGCAAGGTTTGATTGCACCATCTCGTCAATCGGCTTCGATCGCGCGCGAAAGCGCCTATTTTCCTACTTCACTGATTTCAGCGGCTCCGTCTCCGCTTCTTCGGCATCTTCTTCGGCTCGCTCACAAGTACCGATAGTTGCTGCGTCAGATCGAAGAGCAACACCTTCTCTACGCGACATCGCGCAATGCAGCATCTTTATCATCTTTCTGGCAAATATCGAAGAAAAAACAGCAACAGCTGCAAGCAAAAATAATAGCAAGGCTGTCTTCGGTTGGGGTGAGATGTCGGAGGGCATGGTGAAGTCATGTTCAGCCGCAAGGTCTCTGAACACACAGGTCAAACCAGCTACCAGTGATGGCACTTCTTCTTGAATGACTGATTCTGGATAATGAGTCATGGAACCATTGCGCTCCGCATAGATGCGAGTGGTTTCCCAGCGTGGGAAAAAGTAAACTCCGTGTTCTTGAGCACCTCTTAGCATCAAATCATGAAGCATTCGTGAACAATTGTAGAGATAGCCATGTATACGTTTGCCGTTCGTCTCGATCTCTTCACTTTTATTTGCCATGTATTGCATGCCCACGAGCACCGTTCGTCTCTTCAAAGCAGGGTTCTGATTCAAAAAAGCAAAAAATCTCTCCACAGATGAAACCAACCGCGTCACATTACGCCTGAGATAATTGCAATCGTGCACGCCAGAATTGACCACCCAAACAGTTGGCAATCTTCCCACTTGCGCAGCAGTGTCCAACACATGTAAATCGTTCAATTGGTATCCCACGAACATCCGCCAGGCAAGGGTCAACTGCACAGGCCTTTGGTCAAAACTTGTATTCCAATTGCACACGTGATCATTTATGCCCCACTTCGGAGCCCGCACTCCTGCCAAAATTGCTTCGGCATTCACCTCTTCCTTTTCCTTCGTATCCAGTTCTGGTAGCTTTGTGCATTGTCGAACTTTCTGTTTGAACTCTGAAAAGTTGCCAAGGCTGGCAGAAAAGTCTATCGCAACGTACTTCAGAAATGCCCGGAACAGCTGGCGGCCAGTGGAATCACCTGAAAAGTAGATCCAGAGTGGTTTTCTTGAGTGAACTTCTGCAAGAGGCAAGCGAGATTGGCATTGCAGAAACTCTGTGCGGCTACAATTTGGCGTTGGTTCTTGGCATGGCACACCAGAACTATCTGGCCACTTCCCACAAAGTTGCCACTTGCAAGCATTTCCACAACTAGCGATATCTTCCAAACCAACCATGGCAACTGTAGTTTGCAGAAGGGTTACTACAAACAACATTGTATTCTCTAGGTATTTGGTATTCCGCGACATCTTCACTAAGCTGATGAGTGATACATGCAGTCGCAGTTAGGTGGGTTTGCTGGGTCCTGAGCCCTCCATTATAAAGCCCAAGGCACTTGAGATCCATGTATGTCATATTTACAGTATTTTGAGGTAATTGATTGAACAGGGATCAATATATAGTAACTAGTCCAGTTCCATGGATGCTTTTGGGTATTTCTTGAAGTGAGGTGGATGTCGGGGCATGTGACGATCTATGGATTCCTGGAACCGGAATCATCTGATGCTTCAGGGAGTAGGTTAGTACAGTATATGTTTATGTCTTGTTCAAGGCACGTTCATATCAAATTAAGAATTGAGAATGGGATACAATCGGATACAATGGCATTATCGGATGATCGTCAAATGGCCTGTGATGTCGCAAAGCTTGGAATCGATCGCCGGGCGTGTTTCAGCCGGAGCCGGGGCAGGAGCCACCAGCCAGGAGCGATTCCTGCGAATTCCTCATCTTCAGGCGACAGGGTGGTGACAGCCTACAGCCTACAGTCTGCGACACTCTGCCGACTTTGGCAGCTGTGAAAATCCAACAACTAATCTGCACAGGGAAAATCAAAAACATGCAGGGCATGTTTTGCGAATGCTCAGGGCACAAATGGAACAGTTCGAACCATCAACTACAGTGGTTTCAGAGGTGAGATATGGTTCGAATTGGCACGAAAGCACCCACCCCAAGATGTCTTGGACTGATGGGGGCCTATACATGTCTACACAAACCCGCAAACTTGGGGTAACTTGTGCCATCTACTCTACATCCGCTACAACAACAAAATAACGCGCCTCAAGGCTTCCTTGGTGTGGATTTGAAAGGTCATCCAAAGTCATTGGACGTCATATTTTTG